TTTTAAATTGTTCCAAGTAGATAGAAGTATCGGGAAGGGGGTGGGGGTGGCAAAGATGACCGAGAAACGCATTGACCTGTTGCATAAATACGGTATTAATTCGGAAGTAACACATACAGAGTCTGTTTGGATCATAATTTTCAGAGGGCATGAAAAATTAATTTTAGGTGTGGATATACCGTCCCCCAAATTAGATAGGGACCAGGGGAGAACTAACTATGGGGAAATTGTTAGGGCCACAAGGGCACGATAATGTAGTAATGTCATAGGAGACTTTAACTTTAGGTCCAATTTGATTGAATTTCTTGACTGAATTTAGAATCCATACGTTTCTAGAAGTATTTCAGGATTGTTATTTTGGGGGGGGGGGGGGGGGGGGGGGGGGCAGGCTGTTTGTGGCAGAACCCTACAAGGGGTAATAACCTGCTTGACTTCGTTCTGGCAAACAATGAATCCCTTGTTAATAATTTAGAAGTTTCAGAGAACTGGGTGCAGCGACCACAATTCAAATACTGTAGAATTGAATGGAAGTATGATAGCATGGTAACTCTGTAAACAGTCCCCCCAATTTCGCTTAGCAGATTACGATGGCTTATAGAACACTTATCATCTGTTGACTGGGGTAACGAAGAGAGCTATCAAAATGACAGTTTTCTGAACACAATACATGCTGCTCAAAGAACGTTTATCCCCTTATAAGGAAATTAGATCAAATAGAAATGACCCAAAATGATGAATAAATAGGCTGAAAAATCTACTAGGGCATAAGAAAAGGAATTTATAGGCGGATCAAAAGAGGCTGAGGGTCATCTTATGAATCATATATTGACATTAAGAGGGACATTAAAAAGGATAAGAAAAGCTAAAAGGGACTATGAAATTAAAGTTATGCTAGGATTCTAAAACTAAACCCAAAAAGTTTTTTTCCAGGTAATAGAACAAAAGTCAGAGATAAGATAGTCCCCCTTAAAAATAACTATGGGCAATACTAACTGACAAAGAGAAAGTGAAATGTGCTCGATTTTAAATAATATTTTCTCTCGGTTTTTACACAGGAAGACACTAATAATATTCCGGTTAATTAAAATTTTTTATAGTGGATCAGAAGAAATAAATTATGTAACATCACAGTCACTAGTGAAATGGTTTGTGAAGAGAATAGACAGACAGAAGGCAAAATAAGTCACCGGGTCCTGATGAGGTTATTTCAAGGGTTCTAAAGAAGCAAATGGAAGTCTTGAACAATAACTAATATTTTTAATTTATCTCTTCAACAGGTGCAGTGTCTGATATGCGGAAATGGCTAATGTAATTCCTATTTCTAAACAGGGTGACAAGTCGTTACCGTCAAATTACCGCCCAATAAGCCTGACCTCATTGTAGGCAAATTACTAAGTCAATTATAGCTGAGATTATAAGAAGCCATCTCGATAAGCATAGCTTGATTAAGAAAACTTCAGCATGATTGCACAAGAGGCCGGTCTAGTCCTAACTAATTTATAAACTTTCATTCAGTAAAGCATTTGAGGCTGTTGACCACGATAAAGAATATGAATATTTACGTAGATTTTAAGTAAGGCATTTGATAGAGTTCCGCACAAAGACTGTGAAAGAAAGAGTAGCCACTCATGGCATTGGGGGAAGGGTGCTCACTGATCGAATCATGGCTCACAGACAGGAAGCAAAGAGTGTCCAAAAATAGGGGTTAAATCCGAGTGGGGATCAGTAACAGTGGTCGTTATCCACAGGGATCTGGGTCCCTTGGGCCCGTTGTTGTTTATAATAAATATCAATGATCTTGATGAAGGAATTACTAGTGAATATGAGCAAATTCGCCGATGACACGAAGATAGGTAGATAATTGATTCAAACGTTATGTTAGGGAACTTCAGGAGGATTTAGACAAACTCTACTTCTATTGGTCAGAAAAATGGCAGAAGCAGTCAATGAAGAAAAATGCCCAGGTTCTGAAGCTTCGGGAGTGTCCAATAACCCTTAGCACTTATAAGTTAAATAAAGTAGAACTTAACCATACAGATTGCGAAAAGGGACTTGGGGGTTTATGGTAAGCAGCAACCTATACCAAGACAGCAATGCCTCAGCGTACGTAAATAAGGCAAATAATATACTGGGATTTATACAAGAAGTGACTGAGCAACAGAATCAGAAGGTCCTACTGCAGCTTTATACATCATTAAGTAAGGCCTCACCTAGATTATGCATGAGTTCAATTCTGGTCTCCATATTTACAGAATGGACATAAATTCGTTAGAAAAAACATTCAAGCAGTAGGTATGACTAAATTAATACATAGCATTAGAAATCTTCCTTATGAAGAAGAGATTGAAGACATCTCATAAGTTTACATTCACTTGTTAGACGAAAGAATTTGAGGGGAGACCTGATTGAAGTGTATAAGAGACGAATAGGTAATACATAAAGGTGATTATTAACAAGTTCATGAGAATAACTCTCCAAAGATAGAACCCGCAGTAATTGATTTTAAATTAGATAAGTTTAGATATAGAAAGACATAGAAAGTAATGGTTTGGAAATTAGGGTAGTAGAAGAGTGGCCAGTCTACCTAGTTGTGGTTATTGAGGCAAGGACTTTGAGGTAGTTTTCAAAATATTAAGGTGGATAAATACATGAGTTGGAAGGGTTGGATTATTGAGTGGTGACATGCACACAGAGCTTATATCTATGGGTAGATTTGAAAAATGGGTAGTTCAAATGTTTGTTATTGGGATGAATTGTAACGGACCCTGCCTATTAAGGGCCAACGGCCTGCTGCAGTGTTCCTCCTTTCATATGTTCTTTATGTATTCTTAAGTGGTAAGTAACAACACTTGTGTGTAACGTGGTAAACCCACTTGGGTACTGGTAGTACACACTGTATGGTAAGTGGTAGTACACACTTGGGGTAAGTGGTAGTACACACATGGTGTCAGAGTAGTACACACTTGGGTAAGAGTTGGTACACACTAGGGTAAGTGGTAAGTGCACGACTTGGTAAGTGGTATAACAACACATTGGTAATGGTATGTACACACTTGGGTGAAATAGGTGGTACAACACTTGGTAGTTGGTGTAACACACTTGGGTAAGTGGTAGGTACAGCACTTGGGTAAAGTTGTAGTAATCACACTGGTAAGTGGTTACACACTTGGGTAAGTGGTATACACACTTGGTAAGTGGTTGTACACACTTGGTAAGTGGAGTCACACACTTGGGTAAGTGGTGTACACACTTGGGTAAGTGGTGTACACACTTGGGATAAGTTTTGGTACACACTTGGGTAAGTGGTAGTACACACTGTTGGAAAGTGGTGGTACACACTTGAGTAAGAGGTCGGTTACACTCACTTGGGTAAGTGTGGTACAAACTTGGGTAAGTGTGTGGTACGCACATGGGGTAAGGGTGGTACACACTTGGTATGTGGTGGTACACACATGGTAAGTGGAGGTACGCACTTGGGTAAGTGGTAGTACACACTTGGGTAAGTGGTAGTACATACACTTGGGTAATTGGAAGTATCACACTTGTGGTAAGTGGAGGTACAACACACCAGTGTAAGTGGAGGTACATCACTTGGGTAAGTGGTAGTACACACTGGGTAAGTGGTGGTACGCACTTGGGAAAGTGGTGGTACACACATGGTAATAGGGGACACACTTGGGTAGTGGTGGTACACACTTGGGTAAGTGTGTACACACTTGGGTAAGTGGTGTACACAACTTGGGGTAAGTATGGGTGGTACACATTGGGTAAGTGGTGAACAAGCACTGGGTAAGTGGTGGGTACACACTTTGGTAAGTGGTGGTACACGACTTGGGATAAAGTGGTAGAGGCACACTAAGGGTAAGTGGGTAACACACACTTGGGTAAGTGGTAGTACACACTTGGGTAAGTGGTAAGTACACACTTGGGTAAGTGGTGTACACACATGGGTAATTGGTAGTACAACACATGGGTAAGTGGTGTACGCACTTGGGTAAGTGGGTGTACGCACTTGGGTAAGTGTATACACCCTTGGGTAAGTGGTAGTACACACTGGGTAAGTGGTGGTACACACTTGGGTAAGGGTAGTACACACTTGGTAAGTGGTAGTACACACTTGGGAAAAAGTGGTAGTAACACAACTTTGGGTAAGTGGTAAGTACACACTGGGTAGAGTGGGTGGTACACACTAGGGTAAGTTGTGGTACACACTTGGGAAAGTGGTGGACACACTTGGGTAAGTGGTGGAACACACTTGGTAAGTGGAAGTACACACTTTGGGTAATAGGTGGTACACACTTGATGGAAAGAGTGGTACCCACAGGATAAGGGGAGGTACACACTTGGGTAAGTGGTGAACACACTTGGGTAAGTGGTGGAGTACACACATGGTAAGTGGAGTAGTAACACAGCAGTGGCAGCTGGATAGGCAGGAATTGGAAAAACATATCTGTTCTCTGAAGGGAATGTATAGGTGATTCTACCATTTGAGATATCATTCCATTAGAGTCGTTTGTTCACTACAGCAAGACTGTGTATTGGAATATATCCACAAATGCAGATAATGTGTGATCCTTTATTAGACACGTTCCGCCCACCACAGTGGCATTCAAGTCACAAACAATATACTAACCTTGGGTGGAAGGAACGCTAAGTATTTATAGTGTCGACGATCCTTCCCACCCCAGGTAGTTTCTTGTGACTTGAAAAAGCCCACTGAGTGGGCGAAACGCAGTCAATAAAGTGGATCACATTATACAGCATTTGTGTTATATTCCCATTGTGTCGGTAATTTATACCATTTATTTCCAAGACAGTTATTAACTGAATGATGGTGAATGACCTTTTTTCCATCCTAGATTGGTGAGAGACGGCCCATGTCTTTAAAGTGAAGTGGTATCATTTTTATATTAAACAGTTGTTATGAATAGCAAGCAGTTAATGCTTTGTAAATGTAAATTCAACCAGTGATTTCTAGAGTCATATACTCGATGTTGCAGGTCTGCGGGATATAGCAGGCCGCATGCGGGCGCTGGAGGAGTCAAGGTCGCAGGCGGCAGCCAGGGCTGAAGAGGTGAGCTATGCAATATGGTGTATTCAGTTATTTTATCAATAAACAAGTATTTTGAGCTAATTTATTCAACTAAAGTTTAGTTGTTGCAATATTGTCAGTGATCAGTTTTTTAAAGGATCACAGGATATATACAAGGAGCTGTCAAAAAGCTCCAGGTCTCGAATTTTCGTGAAGTTCCAGGATGAAATAAGGCGTCGACGTAGATCACGCTGCGCAGTATGCTTCTTCATGACGTAGCCTGGCGAGTTTCATTGCGGTCGGTCATTCTGGTGTAGTTAGATAGGCAGTTTTTAGTCGTGTTGTCAGTGATTTGTTCCGATTTTTTGTGCAACATAAAGGAACCTTCAAAAGAAGAACAGTGTGTGTGTGTGTGTGGTGAGTGAGTTTGTGTGTGTTTGTATGTGAGTGTGTGTGTGTGTGTGTGTGTGTTGTGTGAGTGTGTGTTGTGTTTGTTTTTGGGATGAGTATGTGTGTGTGTGAGTGTTTGGTGTCGGTTGTGTGTGTGAAATTTCCTGTTTCCAAGTCTGGAGTAAAACACCTAGTGACACTCACAAAATTCTATCAGCAAACATTGGGCGACGAAGCAGTGGGTTAGACAGAGTATGTTGCATGGTTTTCTCGATTCAAAACAGGATGAAGGTCAGTTGAGGATGATGAACACTCCGGTCATCCAATGTCAAATGCACTAATAACTCAGTCACGGTATTGTGCCTTTTTTTGTTCTTTAACAACGTCAAAAATAGATGTCAACATTGAAAAAGTGAGATAGGATCTTCATGAAGATCATCATTCAGAGTATACCCAGAATATTGCAAGTGCTATGGGAATTTATGGGTTATGTCAAAGCACTTTGACTTAAAATTTGAACATGAGGCGAGTGACTGTGAAGTTTATGCCCCGATTGCTGACCCAAGATCAGAAAGACCATCGTTTTCTGGTTAATAGCATAGCTATTAACCCCACCCTCCCTACTTTCCCAAGATCTAGCCTACCCATGACCCATTACATTCTCTTCCCCAAAAAAGGAAAAGAGCACTTAGGGAGCAGCGTTTTAACGATGTGAGATACCATAAACCTAGATGGCGTTAAGAAAGACGATTCCCAGAAATGTTTCCACGAATTTAGCAAGAAGCGCAAGGACAGTTAATAGCCTCGCAGCAGCTGATTTTCTATGTGGTTCACCAGATAGATAGCTGCTGAAATAACCACGTGCAAGGAAATAAGTGTGAGCATCAAACTTAAAGTTTTAGCGTCAAGTGTAGTATATGGGTAGGTAAGTGTGTAGGAGGCCTAGGTAAGTGGTTAACACCGTCCGCAATGATAAATTAGTAAATTTAGTGTATGGTGCAGGCATTCTGAAATCTTTATTTCTGAAGGGGCGTTTACGCCATCTTTTGGAGCTTTATCAGCACAATACAGTATGACTGTAGAGGTATAAGATGAGGTAATCAGTCCCTCAGCCTAGCAGCAGGTGCTCGAACTGTAATTCAACAAGACTAAGGCACATCCATCTATTCCTCTCGACCATTTCAACATGTTGTACTAGAAAAAGCTACTGAATTGGCGAGACGTCGAACAAAATAAATAAACCCCAGATGTTTGCGTCAACGTGTTTAAATTCATTAACTTTTGCGAAACTCTATATAATAAAGATAACCCATATGTTGCGCAAAGTGTTTAAATCATTATCTTATGGCGAAACGTCTATATATGAAGATACGTCCAGATGTTGCGCAAGATGTTTAAAACAATATCTAGGCAAACTACAAAAAAAAGAATATACCCAGATGTTGGCGCAAGTGATTAAATCAATACATGGCGTAAACTGTCTATATAATATAGATACCTCAGATGAACACAAGTGGTTTAATTCATATATATTATCTTACACTGATGCACACTGTCACGTACAGCTGCGGGGGCGCCTTCTGAAACTGTCAGCAACTTACAGAAGTTCGGTAGCTCGTCTGTACCCTGGAGACCTGGAGACCTGTGCCACACCTTGACTACGGGGTCTCGAACTAGGAGCTCGATACCACAGTGAGAGTTACTAATACTAAGCCTTTCTCATCCAAACAAATTAGTGTTCCTGGAAATATATACAGTATCAGCTTATGTGATGAATGTTTTGAAAACCGACAAGTTTAGAAGAATTTGAGGACACTTAAGAAACACATGGGAAACTTTATTGAAGAAACGATTCTGCCACACAGTGGCTTCATCAGCCCAATAAAAAAGTAGAAAAGGGTAAGTGAGAGTAGAAGGATTGAAGGTAATCAGTCCCCAACCTGGAATCAATGTGTTCAGTCCATCCAGTCTTGTAGGAAAGTGATGGACTGAAGCACATCGATTCCAGGTTGAGGGACTGATACCTCAAAACAACTAACACTTCCTTACCCATTTCAACTTAGTATAGGACTGATAAAGCCACAGTGTGTCGAAACTGTTATCTCAATAAAGATACCCATGTGTATGTCATAAGTGTCACAATTTAGTATCAGCTTAGATACAAAATATTTTAACCAAAAGAACGAGTCCTTTACCTCTTAGCTAGAAGAGTTTTAAGAAAGCTAAAAGAACTTTATCGCCCTATAGCATTGAATATATAATCAGAACAGCGTAGAAACTTTATTCTCCACTTTGTTCGTTTCAGTTCTCGTTCTCTGAGCATGCTTCGACTGCTGGCTAATGTTGAGAACCACAACCAGACAGACACAGCCAGACGGGCCAGATATGATATGAGAATGTCCAACTATGTGGAAGGTCATGACGCGCCCTACTAGGGAGGTAGGTCTCCCTTGCACTCACTATAAACCAGGGAAGGTAGGTCCCCTTGCACTCACTGTTATACCAGGGAAGTTAGTCCCCTTTACGCCACTGTTTATACCTAGGGAAGTTAGGTCCCCTTGCTCTCACGTTCATACCAGGAAGGTTAGTCCCCTTGCACTCACAGGTTAACCAGGGAAGGTAGGAATTTACTTACGCTCTCTGTTATACTAAGGGAAGGTAGGTCTCCTTACACTCACTGTTATACCAGGGAAGGTAGGTCCCCTTGCACACACTGTTAAACCAGGGAAGGTAGGTCCTCCTTACCGCTCTCTGTTATACACGGAATGTAGGTCTCCTTACACTCAACTGGTTATACAGGTAAGGTAGGTCCCGTTGCACTCACTGTTTAACCAGGGGAAGGTAGGTCCCCTTACTCGCTCACTGTATACCAGGAAGGTAGGGTTCCCCTTGCACTCACGGTTATACAGGGAAGGTAGGTCCCCTTGCACTCAGCTGTAATACCAGGGAAGTTATGTCCTCTTAACGCTCACTGTTATACCAGGAAGTAGGACCCCTTGCACGTCACACTGTTAATACCAGGGACGGAAGGTCCCCTTGCACTCACTGTTATACCAGGGAAGGGTAGGTCCCCTTTGCAATCACTGTTATAACCAGGGAAGTATCCCCCCTGCACTCCACTGTTATACCAGGGAAGGGAGTCTCCATACGCCACTGTTAAACCAGGGAAGTAGGTCCCCTTGCACCACAGTTATACCAGGGACGGGTAGGTCCCTCTTTGCACTCACTGTTATATCACCAGGAAGGAAGATATTCCCCATACGCTCAACTGTTATACAGGGAAGGTAAGTCCCCTTGCACTCAATGTTAAACTAGGGAAGGAAAGGGTCCCCATACACGACACTGTTATACAAGGAAGGTAGGTCCTTAGCACTTACCTTTTATACCAGGAATGTAGTCCCTTGCAACTTTACTGTTATACCAGGGAAGGTAGGTCCCCTTGCACTCACTGTTATACCAGGGAAGGTAGGTCCCCTTACACTCACTGTTATACCAGGGAAGGTAGGTCCCCTTACACTCCACCTGAGTTATTCCCAGGGAAGGTAGTAAGTGTCCCTCTACACTTGGTTGTACAGGGGAGGCAGGTCCCCTTGACATCATTGTTATAGCCATGAGAAGTGATCCCGCTTACCTCACTGTTGTACCAGGGAAGGTAGGTCCCCTTGCACTCACTGTTATTCCAGGGAAGGTAGGTCCCCTTGCACTCACTGTTATACCAGGGAAAGTAGGTCCCCTTACAGTCACTGTTATACCAAGGAAGGTAAGTCCCCTTACACTCGCTGTTATACCAGGGAAGACAGGTCCCTCTACACTGTTACACCAGGGAAAGTAGGTCCCCTTATACCAGGGAATGGCCAGGTCCCATATACCAGGGAAGCAGTCACCTTATACCAGGGGAGGCAGTCCCTCTAAACAGATGTAGCCAGGAGAAGGTAGGTCCCTTTGGCCCTCACTTATTATACCAGGAGGTAGGACCCCTACTCTCACTGTTTATACCTAGGAATTCTACCTAGTTCGGGACCCACATAAATCGGATACACCTCATAATGCGAAAGTCCTCCTTAATTAGTGACAGACTCCTACTTCGGGACGTCTCCCTAATTCCGGGACGTCTTATACTTTTCGGGACGTCTGAAAACAAGCAATTCAAACAAGCTCATGCATTCTTATACAACATTGTCATTAAAACCTTTTGAATATTTGTAAATTTTAACTCCTTTTGTAACTATTATATTCATATTATCTCTAGCAAGCTGAGGAATAAATAGGTTTTAAAAAGCTTTTATTGATGCAATAATGTCTTTTAAAGCATACTGCAACCAAATCACTTGTTCTTAAACTCAAATTTGCTAGAATCGTATTTCTTAACGCGAATCATAACACCTCACATCTATTACTGAGTGGTGTCACCAAGTAGTGTCTGATCAAGACTGAAGTTCACTCAACACTCACATTAACTGAGTGGTGTCCACCAACTAGTGTCTGTATCAAGACTAATGCTCAACACCTCACATTACCCTCTACACGTCTACCAACATTATTTTATCACAACACCAAAAATACCCAAGTGTTGTATATTGCGTTTTGATTCCTCTATCTGTCTGTTTTTAACACCACAAATGTTAGTAAAATAAGCTTAAAAACAACATATTAGGGCTTCACATATGAAGTACTACATACCTTACCATTTTTTTCAATCTGACTAAGAATTTAATGGCCACTTTGAGACCATACTTGACATATGTTTTTTCACAAATCAAATCCGGTCCCCTAAAATTGATAATACTGTTTTAGCGAAGTTGTTATTGTTGCAGATGAGGAGGCATCAGTTGTTATCTTGTCATGTTGCTAGATGTGGAGTATCTGTTGTTATCTTTGACCATGTTACAGATGTTGGAGTATCTGTTTTATCTGTTATCGTTGCAGAAGTGGATTATCTTTGTATCTTGTCATGTTGCAGATGTGGATTATCTGTTGTTATCTGTTATTTTCAGATGTGGAGTTTCTGTTGTAATCTTGTTATGTTGCAGATGTGGAGTATCTGTTGTTATCATGTTCAGTTGCAGATGTGGAGTATCTGTAGTTATCTTGTTTATGTTTGCAGATGTGGAGGTATCTGTTGTTATCTTAGTTATTTTCAGATTGGATAATCTGTTGTTACTTGTTATGTTGGCAGATTGAGGAGTAACTGTTTGTTATCTTGCGTTATGTTGCAGATGTGGAGTATCTGTTGTTAGGTCTTGTCATGTTGCAGAAGTGAGTATCTGTTGTTATCTTTGGTTATGTTCAGATTGGAGTATCTGTTGTATCTTTTATGTTCAGATGTTGAGTATCTGTTGTTACTTGTTATTAGCAGATGTGAGTATCTGTTGTTATCTTGTTATGTTGCGCAGATGTGGAGTATCTGTTTGTTATCCTTGTATGTTACAGATGTTGGAGTATCTGTTGTTATCTTGTCATGTTGCAGATGTGGAGTATCTGTTGTTATCTTGTCATGTTGCAGATGTGGAGTACCTGCTGGGTCGACCTCTGCAACGAGAGTTGGCTGGTGAAGCGCAGATAGAAGTGGCTCTGATTCACTACTACACATTAGCAATAGCTGGTAAGCTTAGCAGTACCCTGACCCAGCAGTGGTAAGTGGAAGTACCATGGAGACCCAGCAGTGGTAAGTGGAAGTACCTGGACCTCAGCAGTGGTAAGTGGCAGTACCTGGACCTCAGCAGTGGTAAGTGGCAGTACCTGGACCTCAGCAGTGGTAAGTGGAAGTACCTGGACCTCAGCAGTGGTAAGTGGCAGTACCTGGACCTCAGCAAGTGGTAAGTGGCAGACAACCTGGTGGACCTCAAGCAGTGGTAATGGTAGTACGTAGACCTCAGCAGTGGTAGTGGTAGTACCTGGACCTCAGCAGTGGTAAGTGACAGTACCTGGACCTCAGGAGTGGTAAGTGACAGTACCTGGACCTCAGCAGTGAAAAGTGGCAGTACGCCTATGAACCGCAGCAAGTGGTAAGTGGAAGTAACCAGGCCCCTCAGAGTGGTAAGTTGAAGTAACTGACCTCACAAGTGGTAAGTGCATACCTGGACCCACTACATGGTAAGTGACAGTAACTGACTTCAGCAGTTGGTAGTGACAGACCTGGACCTCATGAGCATGGTAAGTGACAATATAAAATAGTGTGGATTGTGTGATTAGGCTTACTGGGTACACAGAATATAATTATTGTACATAAATTATAATGGTGTTATTATAAAAGAAGTTCGTATTACCACTTACCATTTAATTAGTGTAGATGGATCACACCACAACACCTGCCTGACACATAGACCCTTCACTGGCCAGTTAGATATCTAAATGCAAAGACTAATGGCGCACTTCCCTGTGTGAGAGATGGTTGTATCCCTTATCTTCCGTCATCTACACGTAATTGTTGAGGTCCCGCAAATTTCCTGTCCCAATTCTCCAGCAGGGGACATTAAGACAGGTTCCTAATTACAAATTCAGGCCAAAACCCCCCAATTTGGCTCAGAAGATGCCGGATTATTAGCAGAATTTTCCACAACAGTCATTGTTCACAAATTACGACACTCTCCATGCTGTTCCACATCCTTGTTCACTTAAAATTTCTCGAAGGATCCAAATAGCATCACATTTTAATATGCAAGTATTATATTATTCATTTATATGTTTACATTTAGGTAAATTATGTAAAAAAATTCCACACAGGTGTTGTTGTGGGCTTGTCGTTAGTGTGGGTGTTGATGACTGTGGGGGTGTGCTGTGGGTGCTGTGCCTACACAGCGGACCATCATCCCACAGAGAGGTCCTGTGTCTCTCACTTGGCTGGCAAGACACTCATTGCGTGAGTTAACTGACTACAAACCTCTTTCTCCAGATATGTTCTTCCATCTTTTTAGTTACATTTACATGTAGAGAGTGCAAATAAATTTCCTTTTATAATTAATTAATGATATATATAATTGCACTGAAGTAGGAGGTTGGTAGACAGCAACCACCCAGGGAGGTACTACCGTCCTGTGGTAGTAGGTTGGTAGACAGCAACCACCCAGGGATGTACTACCGTCCTGTGGTAGTAGGTTGGTAGACAGCAACCACCCAGGGAGGTACTACCATCCTGTGGTAGTAGGTTGGTAGACAGCAACCACCCAGGGTGGTACTACCATCCTGTGGTAGTAGTTGGTAGACAGCACCACCCAGGGAGGTACTACCATCCTGTGGTAGTAGGTTGGTAGACACAACCCCAGGGAGGTACTACCACGTCGTGGTAGTAGGTTGGTAGACAGCACCACCCAGGGAGGTACTACCATCCTGTGGTAGTAGGTTGGTAACGTAACCACCCGGGAGGTACTACCTCCTGTGGTAGAGGTTGGTAGACAGTAACCACCCAGGGAGGTACTACCCATCCTGTGGTAGTAGGTTGGTAGAACAGCAACCACCCAGGGAGGTAAATACCTCCTGTGGTAGTAGGTTGGTAGACAGCAACCACCCAGGGAGGTACTACCATCCGTGGTAGTAGGTTGGTAGACAGCAACCACCCAGGGAGGTACTACCATCCTGTGGTAGTAGGTTGGTAGACAGCAACCACCCAGGGAGGTACTACCATCCTGTGGTAGTAGGTTGGTAGAACAGCAGACACCCAGGGAGGTACTACCATCCTGTGGTAGTAGGTTGGTAGACAACAACCACCCAGGGAGGTACTACCATCCTGTGGTAGTAGGTTGGTAGACAGCAGCCACCCAGGGAGGTACTACCATCCTGTGGTAGTAGGTTGGTAGACAGCAGCCACCCAGGGAGGTACTACCATCCTGTGGTAGTAGGTTGGTAGACAGCAACCACCAGGGAGGTACTACCATCCCTGTGGTAGTAGGTTGGTAGACAGCAACCACCCAGGGAGGTACTACCATCCATCGTGGTAGTAGGTTGGTAGTACAGCAACCACCCAGGGAGGTACTACCATCCTGTGGTAGTAGGTTGGTAGACAGCAACCACCCAGGGGGTACTAACCCCTGTGGTAGTAGGTTGGTAGACAGCAACCACCCAGGGAGGTACTACCATCCTGTGGTAGTAGGTTGGTAGACAGCAACCACCCAGGGAGGTACTACCATCCTGTGGTAGTAGGTTGGTAGACAGCACCACCCAGGAGGTACTACCTCCTGTGGTAGTAGGTTTGGTAGACAGCAACCACCCAGGGAGGTACTACCGTCCTGTGGTAGTAGGTTGGTAGACAGCAGCCACCCAGGAGGTACTACCGTCCTGTGGTAGTAGGTTGGTAGACAGCAACCACCCAGGGAGGTACTACCGTCCTGTGGTAGTAGGTTGGTAGACAGCAACCACCCAGGGAGGTACTACCATCCTGTGGTAGTAGGTTGGTAGACAGCAACCACCCAGGGAGGTAACTACCATCCTGTGGTAGTAGGTTGGTAGACAGCAACCACCCAGGGAGGTACTACCATCCTGTGGTAGTAGGTTGGTAGACAGCAGCCACCCAGGGAGGTACTACCATCCTGTGTAGTAGGTTGGTAGACAGCAACCACCCAGGGAGGTACTACCATCCTGTGGTAGTAGGTTGGTAGACCAGCAGCCACCCAGGGAGGTACATACCATCCAGTGGTAGTAGGTGGTAGACAGCAACCACCCAGGGAGGTACTACCGTCCTGTGGTAGTAGGTTGGTAGACAGCAACCACCCAGGGAGGTACTACCATCCTGTGGTAGTAGGTTGGTAGACAGCAACCACCCAGGGAGGTACTAACCATCCTGTGGTAGTAGGTTGGTAGACAGCAGCCACCCAGGGAGGTACTACCGTCCTGTGGTAGTAGGTTGTAGACAGCAGCCACCAGGAGGTACTACCCTCCTGTGGTAGTAGGTTGGTAGACAGCAACCACCCAGGGAGGTACTACCATCCTGTGGTAGTAGGTTGGTAGACAGCAACCACCCAGGGAGGTACTACCATCCTGTGGTAGTAGTTGGTAGACAGCAACCACCCAGGGAGGTACTACCATCCTGTGGTAGTAGGTTGTAGACAGCAACCACCCAGGGAGGTACTACCATCCTGTGGTAGTAGGTTGGTAGACAGCAACCACCAGGGAGGTACTACCGTCCTGTGGTAGTAGGTTGGTAGACAGCAAGCCACCCAGGGAGGTAACTACCATCCTGTGGTAGTAGGTTTGGTAGACAGCAACCACCCAGGGAGGTACTACCATCCTGTGGTAGTAGGTTGGTAGAGCAACACCACCCAGGGAGGTACTACCATCCTGTGGTAGTAGGTTGGTAGACAGCAACCACCCAGGGAGGTACTACCATCCTGTGGTAGTAGGTTGGTAGACAGCAACCACCCAGGGAGGTACTACCATCCTGTGGTAGTAGTTGGTAGACAGCAACCACCCAGGGAGGTACTACCATCCTGTGGTAGTAGGTTGGTAGACAGCAACCACCCAGGGAGGTACTACCTCCTGTGGTAGTAGGTTGGTAGACAGCAACCACCCAGGGAGGTACTACCTCCTGTGGTAGTAGGTTGGTAGACAGCAACCACCCAGGGAGGTACTACCATCCTGTGGTAGTAGGTTGGTAGACAGCAACCACCCAGGGAGGTACTACCTCCTGTGGTAGTAGTGGTAGACAGCAACCACCCAGGGAGGTACTACCATCCTGTGGTAGTAGGTTGGTAGACAACAACAACCCAGGGAGGATACTACCATCCTGTGGTAGTAGGGTTGGTAGACAGCAACCACCCAGGGAGGTACTACCATCCCTGTGGTAGTAGGTTGGTAGACAGCAACCACCCAGGGAGGTACTACCATCCTGTGGTAGTAGGTTGGTAGACAGCACCACCCAGGGAGGTACTACCGTACCTGTGGTAGTAGGTTGGTAGACAGCAGCCACCCAGGGAGGTACTACCGTCCTGTGGTAGTAGGTTGGTAGACAGCAGCCACCCAGGGAGGTACTACCGTCCTGGTGGTAGTAGGTTGGTAGACAGCAACCACCCAGGGAGGTACTACCGTCCTGTGGTAGTAGGTTGGTAGACAGCAACCACCCAGGGAGGTACTACCGTCCTGTGGTAGTAGGTTGGTAGACAGCAACCACCCAGGGAGGTACTACCCGTCCTGTGGTAGTAGGTTGGTAGACAGCAACCACCCAGAGGAGGTAACTACCCTCCTGTGGTAGTAGGTTGGTAGACAGCAACCACCCAGGGAGGTACTACCGTCCTGTGGTAGTAGGTTGGTAGACAGCAACCACCCAGGGAGGTACTACCGTCCTGTGGTAGTAGGTTGGTAGACAGCAACCACCCAGGGAGGTAATACCGTCCTGTGGTAGTAGGTTGGTAGACAGCAACCACCCAGGGAGGTACTACCGTCCTGTGGTAGTAGGTTGGTAGACAGCAACCACCCAGGGAGGTACTACCGTCCTGTGGAGTAGTAGGTTGGGTAGACAGCAACCACCCAGGGAGGTACTACCGTCCTGTGGTAGTAGGTTGGTAGACAGCAACCACCCAGGGAGGTACTACCGTCCTGTGGTAGTAGGTTGGTAGACAGCAACCACCCAGGAGGTACTACCCTCCTGTGGAGTAGGTTGGTAGACAGTAACCACCCAGGGAGGTACTACCCTCCTGTGGTAGTAGGTTGGTAGACAGCAACCACCCAGGGATGGTTACTACCGTCCTGTGGTAGTAGGTTGGTAGACATAACCACCCTAGGAGGTACTACCCTCCTGTGGTAGTAGGTTGGTAGACAGCAACCACCCAGGGAGGTAATACCGTCCTGTGGTAGTAGGTTGGTAGACAGCAACCACCCAGGGAGGTACTACCGTCCTGTGGTAGTAGGTTGGTAGTCAGCAACCACCCAGGGAGGTACTACCGTCCTGGGGTAGTAGGTTGGTAGACAGTAACCACCCAGGGAGGTACTACCCTCCTGTGGTAGTAGGTTGGTAGACAGCAACCACCCAGGGTGGTACTACCGTCCTGTGGTAGTAGGTTGGTAGACATCAACCACCCAGGGAGGTACTACGTCCTGTGGAAGTAGGTTGGTAGAACAGTAACCACCCAGGGAGGTAACTACCCTCCTGTGGTAGTAGGTTGGTAGACAGCAACCACCCAGGGATGGTACTACCGTCCTGTGGTAGTAGGTTGGTAGACAGCAACCACCCAGAGGAGTACTACCGTCCTGTGGTAGTAGGTTGGTAGACAGCAACCACCCAGGGAGGTACTACCGTCCTGTGGTAGTAGGTTGGTAGACAGCAACCACCCAGGGAGGTACTACCGTCCTGTGGTAGTAGGTTGGAGACCAGCAACCACCCAGGGAGGTACTACCGTCCTGTGGTAGTAGGTTGGTAGACAGTAACCACCCAGGGAGGTACTACCGTCCTGTGGTAGTAGGTTGGTAGACAGCAACCACCCAGGGGGTACTTACCGTCCTGTGGTAGTAGGTTTGGTAGACAGCAACCACCCAGGGAGGTACTACCGTCCTGTGGTGGTAGGTTGGTAGACAGCAACCACCCAGGGAGGTACTACCGTCCTGTGGTAGTAGGTTGGTAGACAGCAACCACCCAGGGAGGTACTACCGTCCTGTGGTAGTAGGTTGGTAGACAGCAACCACCCAGGGAGGTACTACCGACCTGTGGTAGTAGGTTGGTAGACAGCAACCACCCAGGGATGGTACTACCGTCCTGTGGTAGTAGGTTGGTAGACAGCAACCACCCAGGGAGGTACTACCGTCCTGTGGTAGTAGGTTGGTAGACAGCAACCACCCAGGGAGGCACTACCGTCCTGTGGTAGTAGGTTGGTAGACAGTAACCACCCAGGAGGTACTACCGTCCTGTGGTAGTAGGTTGGTAGACAGCAACCACCC